CGGCCCCATCCCGGGGGCCCCCTCCCACCTCGCCTGAGTTCCTCCTCGAGCTCCCTGGGGCCCCCAGGCCTGGCCTGAGCGGAGGAGGCACCTGCAGCTTCTCGAGGGGGCGGGTGACGTTGTACATGTCGATGGTGTTGATGATGATGGCGGGCGTGGTGAGGAAGAAGAAGAGGAAGAAGAGGAAGATGTTGATCGCCAAGAAGCGAGCCCACCATAAGAATCGGCGGACAGACAGGTGCTGCCTGGGGAAGGAGGGAGTGGGGAGGCACTTGGGGACACCCGTCCTTCGGGCGTGCCCACGCACCATTCCTGCAGGCCTGCCGCGCTAACGCAGCCCCTGGCCCAGGCCCGTGTGCCAAGGCCTGGCCGTGCCCTGCTCCCCGTCACACCATTTGTCAAGGCTCTGAGCATACCGCATAGGTGGGCACAGAGGGAAGTGAGTTATATCTGCAGGAAAAACCTCCTCCCCAAAGGGGGGTGCCTTTCACGTTTGTGGTGCTCACGGGAGCACGTGGCATGGCCCAGTGCGGTCTGTATTTGGACAGTGCTGGGCTTGGTCCCGTGGAGTCTCTGTTGGGTAATACAACGGCGGAGAGACAGGACAGGCCCTCCCATTTTGGAGGCGCTCAGAGGAACAGGGAGGGACCAGGGAGGCTTACCAAATGATGTCTTTGGGGTGTGGGGCCGGAGCGACCCTCCAGTGATAGGATTTGACAGTGGTGGTCACCGAGGACTGCTGGGGGTGCACACCGCACTGGATGAACTTGTAATCCTCCCGGATGCTGCAGATATGGGAGAGGAGGGAGAGACCGAGGTCTGGGGGTGGAGGATGGGCTCAGGAGGGAGGGTCCCGTGTCACGGTCCCAGGCCACTGTGGAGGTCCCACACACGGGGGTTCATCCCCTGCCTGGGGGCTCGTGAAGCCTTGCTATGCCTCCCAGACTTTAGGGGGGACAGTTCCCAAGACCCAGTATCTGGAGGAAAGGGGCATTTGAGGGTGCCTAGACTTTCCAGAAGGCGAGGGGGGACACTTCTCAGGCACTGCCTTTGTCCCTTAATGGCAGTGACAGCACACGGACATGCACTTTGAGACTGACAGGGAAGGTACTGATTTTAGTCTCTCTCTCTCTCTCTCTTTTGAGACAGGGTCTCACTCTGTCACCCAGGCTGGAATGCGATGGTGCCATCATGGCTCACTGCAGCCTCAAACTCCTGGGCTCAAGTGATCCTCCCGCCTAGCTTCCTTAGCAGCTGAGACTACAGCCAGGCACCACCAGACCTGGCTAATTTTTTTAATTTTTAATTTTGTAGAGATGAGGTCTTGCCATGCTGCCCAGGCTAGTCTCAAACACCTAGCCTCAAGCGATCCTCCCACCTCAGCCTCCCAAAGCATTGGGATAACATCTTCTTCATCCACCTTCATCCTAATATCAACAGCTATCAATTACTGACTTCTTTCTGTGTGCTTGGGACTGTGCCAATGAGTGATCAATATAATCTCGGCCGGGCATGGTGGCTCACACCTAGTCCTAGCACTTTGGGAGACCAAAGCAGGAGGATTACTTGAGCCTAGGAGTTCAAGGACAGCCTGGACAACATAGCGAAACCTCATCTCTACAAAAAAATCAAAAAATTAGCTGGGCATGGTGGTCCATGCCTGTAGGCCCAGCTGCTCGGGAGCCTGAGGTCAACTGCACAGATGACTCAGTGGAGGTGCCTGGAGACACAACCACAGAGGGCAGATGCTGGCCCTGGAGTGGCCTCTGGGACTCTAATTCACACCTGCTGTGATTCTGTCTCAGGTCCCCTCTACCAAACAAGGGAAGTCCCAGAAAATGAACAGTGTTGCCTTCTGTGGGTGTGTTGCTTTATACAACACATGCATTAAATAGAACACACATCTCTTGTCAGCCCTCTGCGAGGTGGACAGGAAGGTGTCAGGAACTGAGTGTGACAGATACCGAAGTGTCAGAATGTAAGCGGCTTGCCAAAGTGTGCGTCACTGTTTGCAGCTAAAATCTAGGCGTTTCCATCTTCCTTTACGGGGTGTGGGCGGGTGAGGAAAGTGCCGTGTGGGATCAGGCTCCTGGGAGAAGGGACCCTGCAGTCCTTAACAGGCTGACTCTGGGGCTCCTTTGGGACTTTGGTCCAGTCCTTAGGATCCTTCCAGAGCATTCTGGAGTGGACCTAATCTACTCCTTGTCGAGGTGGGGTTGCCAGAGGCTGATGCAGAGGAGAGGGGGGAACCTCAGGGCTATGGAAGAGGGAAGCCTACAGCAGGACAGGGAGGGCACGTGGGCATCTCTGTCCTGTCTCTCATGGTGAGGAGGGGTGATGCGTGTGCACAGAGGGAGACGGTGGACGTCACACTCATCACGGCCAGAGAGGAAACCAAGAGGCCAGAGGCCACTCTGACCTCTGTGCTGAAGCCAGGATGCTTGGAAGTGAGGGCCCAGGGTCTGGCAGTCCTGGAGACCAGCAGGAGTCCAGATGGCAGTCCCTTGGGGCGGGGCGGAGGGGGGACTGGAAGGCAGGGAGAGAAGCAGAGGTGCTGCTCGGGGCCAGCACCCACCGCTTCACCATCCTCGAGTCCTGGAAGGTGACAAACACCAGGTCCAGCCGCTTCAGCGGGACGCGGTTGAGCTCGGCGTTGAACTCGTCCGTCAGCTGCTCCTCCAGCTCACTGTAATACTGCTCCGCGTCTACCTGGGGCAGGAGGTGGCCCTCAGAGCAAGACCCAGGCCCTTCTCTTGGCAGCAGCCCAGAGGCTGGTGGCCTTGAGGCCTGGCACGGAGCCCAGGACCCCGGGTGGGCTCCCAATTTCCGCCTCTTGACTAGGACTGCCATCCACCCCCTGCCCTTAGATCTGGGAAAAGTGAGGTGTAGCCAGGGACTGGGGGGCTTTCAGACTTGGACCCCAGAGAGGTGACAGAATGTGTCTGCAGCATTTCCAGGAGAGGGGGCAATTCTTTTTCTGGACTGGCTGGAGTTCAGCACTGTCCTGCAGCTGGAGTTCAAGTCTAGAGGCCCCTTCTATCTACATGGTGGGTGATAAGGCAGGGCCTGGGGCCTTCAGATGTCCCTGTCCTATCTCTTGGGAAGCCTGAGCCTGGCAGCCTACGGCAGCCTGCTGTGCTCTGTCTAGTCCTCCCACCCAAGACCGGAAGGGGGACAAGAGATGCCTCCCTGGATAGCACTGACAGGCTGTGGTTCAACAGGGAGGCGGGGAGTGCTGCCGGGGTGGGGACGTGGGGTGCCGCAGCCCTGGGACAGACTTGAATAAGGCCTGACCCAGCCCCTTCTGTGCCACCCGCCCCCCCATGCCAGCGCCAGCTACCTCCCTGAAGCAGGTCCAGCACTTGCAGAAGCACAGGCGGGAGCAGGGGTGGATCCGGATCATCACCTTCCCGGTCTTCTTGGCCATGGCTGTGTAGAAGAGCCGGCCCCGCATGGCGTGGCGTCTGCCCGCAGTGGGTGAGGGAGGAAGGGCTTTAGGGTCGGGGGCGGCCCATCCTCCCCTCCACCCACGGCCCCGGTCCTGACCGGCCCCACTGTGGCCTCACCTCTGGTCGTCCAAGTCAATAAGGGTCCGGACGTCGTAGCAGAAATGGACCCTGGTCACGACGCACCCGGGATAGGCCTCACTACAGCCACAAACATGACACTGAGCTGGTCCGTGGGATGGTGACAGGTTGCCCCCACTTCTGTCCCGTGCGCCAGCCCATGGAGTTAGGCGGCTCATTCTCCATGGGAGAATCTACCCCAGCTCTAAGGTTTGAACTTCAGTTTTGAACCCTGGCACTCTGAGAGTTGCTGAACCCTTCCCAGATGATCAGAACAGGGCTGGGCAGAGCCCCAACCCCTGGAAACCTGGAGAGGCATTCATAGGCGGCGATTAGCTCTGTGGGCCGTGCCCCTAAGGCTAGGAACCTGGGATCACAGAGGTGTCCCAAAAGGGGCTGCTCCAAACAGCTGTGGTCTGGGGGCTCCTCGGGCTCAGAAGTTGGAGCCCTGGGAAAGGAAGATTAACTTCACCCACATCACTTCACCCACACAGGAAATCCTGGCTTCAGAGGCCTGCCAGGCCCATGGCTCTCCTGGTTCTGAAAAGTGAATCCTGAGCCAGGTCCCGGGAGAGCCACTCCTGGGGAGTCCCAGCCCCACTGTCCTGTGCCAGCCCACTGCCCACCTGAGCACCCAGGTGGGGTCACTGGAGGAGGCAATTCATGCCTCAGCCCACCCGACCCACTTACTGAAAATGCTTGATGATAATTTCTGGGTCTTCGATGTCCGTGGGCACATAGGTGATCATCAGTGTCCTTGAGACCTGGGCGGGAAGGGATGTGGGCAGGAAGATTGCCGGCATCGGGCTTGCAGAGATCTGGGCTTTGGTGCCCAGAGCCCACTGGGGACAAGCCCATGGCTTGTAGTGGGCTGCTTGGTGCCCAGGGCTGTCTTGCTGAGTCAGCCAAGGGCCACCTCCCTGGCCCGCGGTGTCCCAGATGTGCCAGGAAGCCAGAGGTCGGCAGACTGTACCTCTGCTCTCTGTGAGGTGGGGGTGGAGGCACTGGGGATGGGGAGGTGGGGACAAGGGGGGCATTGGAGACATGGGAGTAGGG